AGAGAGAGAGAGAGAGAGAGCGAGGGAGGGAGATAGAGAGCGCTAGAGGAGAGAGAGAAGATATACCGAAACAGAAACAGAATAAATAGCAGAAATAGAATATAATGAAATAGAAGCGAGGGAAAGAATTAGATATGAAGATAGATCAAGCGGCAAGAGAAAATGAATATGTGAGAGAGCGAGAAAAACTACAGACGCAGAACACGTCACTAGGCGGTAATTAACTCTTCCTAACAACCTGTCTTCCGTACAGAAACCTCACGCGCAACCTTTCCATAATTGAATGATCGCCACGATGAAAGAACCGGGGGAAAAGAAAATCAAAGCCATATACAAACTTCGACGCCAACTTGACAGAGAAAATGTCAAGTTTAGGGAAAGTTAACAAACGAATCAACGGGATTGGATTGGTAGAAGCCTTTAGACAACATGCACTGCTTACTAAACTAAACGCCGAGTCGTAATTTACAACCTAGATTGATCGTCTAGCGTAATTCGAGTCTTTATTTGCATGTACTATTGATTTTATCCTACCAGTGTTAAATAAAACGTAATACCCTAGCAGCAATTAACGAAAACATCTGGCGCAATCTTCACAGATTATTACTTACTTAAGGAAGAGCGTGAGCGGGAGTATGTGAGAGGATCCGGGATAAGAGCGCATTAGCTCAATCTGACACTCAACATTGTGGCCTTAATGAAAATCGTATACTCACAGATAGAATACTATCCTAGTATATAGAATCTCCCACGATTAGCTGTCATGTCAGTGGCGAAGGGAGAAATGTGACGTGAGTGTGTGTGATGTGATGTGAACGTGATGTTAGTTAGAGGAGGGGCAAGCTAGGTGAGAAAGTCAGGAAGAGGAGGGATTTAACAGCCATGGAAGCAATAAGTATGTATATATATAGTATTATATAAGTCTGGATGCTTGAGTCTATACTGTCGGTAGAGTGCTCGATGCATTAAGTTGCAGAGCGTAATAAATTGTAGTCTGTAGATAAATTAAAGACAAGACATCACTTTTAGCTGTTACTCCGAGTTTCACGCTTACGCGATAATCAGACAGACTTGTCTTACTAGATCAGACTAGATTCTTCATTAAAGTCTGTATGGTGATCGCGTAAGCGTGAAACTCGCAGTAACAGCTAGAAGTGATGTCATGTCTTTAATTTATCTACAGACTACAATTTATTACGCTGTGCAACTTAATGCATCGAGCACTCTACCGACAGTATAGACTCAAGCATTCAGACTTATACAATATTATATATATATATATATATATA